CACAGAGTTAGACATAAGCCCTAAACATTACCGGGTGTGGCCCAAAACACAAAACCAAAACTAAAATAAATAATGAGTGAGCTTTGGATATAAATGCCTTGTACTTAAAGCCACCTAATTTGTTTCCTTTACATTTCAGTTTTCCTCTCTTTAAAGTGGGGTAGCACTGTAGCACTGTCCTCCCATTGTTCATCGATTTGCTCAAGTGGGCCCAGTAATGTCTCCATTGTGAGACTTGTTGTTACTGTGTTTGGCATATTGAATACGCCACAGGTAGCTTGCCAGGCTTTGCCTTGCGGGTGAGATACTCTCAGTAGCTTGCCGGGCTCTCCAAGAGGGGCCGAGGAATCGAACCTGGCTTGGCCGGGCCAGCTGCGTGCAAGGCAAACGCCCTATTGCTGTGCTATACCTCATAATGTTGATGTGAGTATTGATTGATTTGAGATCTGTATAATGCTTGGTGTATGTTACTATTCATCAGTATCAAGCACAGTACAAGATAGCCATCCAGGAATTAGTTGCTGAATGGAAAATTTTGTGAAGTGAATTTTCCATTGGTCCTTTATTAGACCTTGAGTGATTTTATTCTTGCAATCCACGATTGAACAGGGTTAACATATGTATGATATGATTTTTTTAAATCACAGATCTACATCCCTGGAATTGGATAGATAGTTTTTGGGGTATTCTTGGGCTACATAACGGTGCTCAGGGCTTACTTCTGGCTCTGTTCTCAGGGATCACTACTTGAGGGGCTCAGGGAAACTACACATGGTGCTGGAGATTGAACTTGGGTCGGCTGCATGCAAGGCAAGTGCCCTACCCACATACTATCTCTCCAGCCTAAAGTGTGAATATTTTAAAAATTCTTTCATAAGTTACTTAGTAAGAGATAAGTGATTCTCAGCCTAAAATTCAAAACATCCCTATAACAGGAATACATTAAAAAATACATTTGTGACCTTGGAATCTGGTTCACATTGATTATGGCTAGGCACTCAAGCCCAGGTAAACAAGAAGTATGACTGGTGTGGGGACACTTATAAGGTTTCCAGTGAATGAAGGAAAGGTGAGACAGTTAAAGAAAGGTGGATGGAGAATGGAGGAGGTCTAGTTTGAATTTATGATTGACAAGTCTCTGGTGAGAATTATCTAACTTCAGCAGGACATCCCAGATTGTTTTTTGTTTTGGGTCACACTCAGAACTGTGCTCAGGGATCACTTGGGGGATGATCACAGGGATCAGGTAGTGCTTGGGGAACCATGTGTAGTGCTGGGGATCAGACCAGCATGTACTTGTAGCCATATGCAAAGCAAGTACTAAATTCCCATACTATATTCTCTGGCTTTCAAATACCAGTCTTTCTTTCTTTCTTTCTTTCTTTCTTTCTTTCTTTCTTTTTTTTTTGCTTTTTGGGTCACACTCAGTGATGCACAGGGGTTAGTCCTGGCTCTGCACTCAGGAATTACCCCTGGTGGTGCTTGGGGGACAATATGGGACGCTGGGAATCGAACCTGGGTCAGCCGCGTGCAAGGCCTTACCCACTGTGCTGTTTCTCCAGCCCCAAATGCCAGAATTTATTTTCTTTTAGGTTGCTCAGGGGTTACTACCGGCTCTCCCCTCAGGAATTTCTTCTGGTGGGGACTGTATGGTGGGCTGTGAATGGAACCTGGGCCAACCATATGCAAGGCAAATGCCCTACCCACTGTACTATCTCTCTAGCCGCAGATCTTAGGGTTTTTTTTTTTTTTTTGCTTTTTGGGTCATACCCGGCAATGCTCAGGGGTTACTCCTGGCTCATGCACTCAGGAATTACTCCTGGCGGTGCTGGGTGGACCATATGGGATGCTGGGAATCGAACATGGGTCGGCCATGTTGGCTGCGTGTAAGACAAACGCCCTACCTGCTGTGCTATCGCTCCAGCCCAGATCTTAGGTTTTTAAAATCACTTCAAAGCAGAGGCATTTATAGGCAGGTGAGTATAAATCACCTTAGGGATTTTCTCCTGTTAGAACCCATTTTCCTACAGGTGAACCTGAGGTATCACAAACCCCATAGGTGGTTATGAGAGCTTTATATCATCCACATAATTGGGAAGCTCTGTGAGGGAAAGGAACCAGTGAAGGGCAGTTGAATCCTGGAGCATTCTGAAGGAGGCATCCATTACCAGAGGAACAAGTCCAGCCCTGTTGATACAGGGGAAGGTAAGTGTAGGTATCTTTGGTGGCTGTTTACTGGGTATATATGAAGGGGTAGGGCTATAAACAATAAACTTTTGAAGTTTATTTTCAAGTCTCCGGCCAACTTCAATTTCCCATTCCTTCTCCCTTTAGTCATTATTTTTGCCAAACCTTGGGGTGTTCAGAGACTACTCACAATTAATGTTCTGGGTTGCTCTTGGCAGGAGAACATGTTATGCCAGGAATTGAACCAGACCTTGTCTTACATTCAAAGTCTGTGCTCAGCCTGTCGATCTTCTCTCAAACTCCTTTGGTCATTTTTAGAGCCCCTTTAATCATCTGGATCTTCTTCAATCCTTGATACCAAATCTGTTTTACATATCACAAAAAGCTCAAGCTAAGAAGTCATTTGGAGAAAATGCAAGACCTGGAGCAGGGAGAGATTAGATCTGAACACACATGGTAATAAAGGTAACCAGGGGCCAGGGAGGGTAACTCCTGGCTCCATTCTCAGGGATCACTCCTAGTGAGGTGAGGGGGATCATATGGGTTGTCTGGGACTGAACCTGGGTCAGCTGCATACAAGGCAAGTGCCCTGCCTGCTGTACTATTTCTCTGGTCCCCGTTCAGGTGAGATTAATATCAAAGACTGATAACAGCCATTCTGGAAACTCTTTGGACAAGGTAGAGGGTAACGAAATAGAATGTCCCAAGTTTCCTAAGCCAAGGGAACAATAAGAATAGAAAATTTAGAACATGTGAAACTAACTTTTGGAGCATCTTTTGCAAATCTAAATTCCCATAGATAGTTTGGGAACATGTACCTGTACTTTTATAACCTAATTTTCTCCAAAAGTAACTAATATCTAGTGGTGTGAAGGTCCTTGGGAAAAAGGAGGTAGAGAGGGTAAAAGGATTTTTGTTTCCTTGCCCATCCAGCTCAGGGATTACTCCCTGTTCAGTATTGTGCTGGGAGACCATGCAGTGCTGGGGATTTAACCTGGGCTTCTCTGTGCACTCCAGCCCACTGAGCTTTCTCTCCAATCATAAAATACCAACCCTTTTTTGGGGTGGGGGCTGCATGTGGGAGTGCTGAAGCTGCTTCAGTGGTCTTCAGGAGATATTTGGTGCTAGGAATGGAAGCCAGGGCCTCACATGTGGAAGCATGTGTTTGACCACATTCCAGTCTGAGAAAAGATTTTCTCTTCCCTATCTTGATTTTAGTGTTTTTTTTTTTTAACCGGGGTACACATGGGCTATTCTTGACTTTGTCCTCAGGAATGTCCTGGCGATGCTTGGCTGGAGTTGGGAGGGTACACACAGACAGTATGTGTTGCCCAAGATTCCAACTGGGCTTGAGCAGGATGGCAGGCAAGCCCCTTATCTCTATACTCTGTTCCTGCACCTAAGATCTTGATTTTTTTTTTTTGTGGGGTGAGGATGGGGGCAGACAGAGGAGAGGAAGAAGGAACACCTGGCAAAGCTCAGGAATTTCTCCTATCTCTGGGCTTAGGACCATATGGGATGGTGCTCGGGAGACTATATGGGATGCCAGGAATTGAACCTGGATCAGCCTCGTGAAAGGCAAACACCCTACCAGCTGTACTATCTCTCAAGCCTTATTCCCTGACACCCCCCCCCCCCCTTTTTACATGCTTATTTAATTTTGGTTTTTGGGCCCTACCCTGCAGTGCTCAGGGATTACTCCTGGCTCTGCACTCAGGAATTACTGCTGGCGGTGCTCAGAGGATTAAAAGGGGTTCTGGGGATGGAACCTGGGTTGGCAGGTGAAAGACAAACGCTCTCATCCGCTGTACTATTTCTCCGGTCCCATCCAGCCCTAACCTCTTGATTCTGTAGGAAAACAAAATTTTTATAAAACTAAGCTTTCAGACTTAAAAAAAAAATCTCACCAGTATTAATTGGGAGAAAGTGAGGAGGAGGTGGGGCGGTAATGGAGAAAGCTGACGCAACACACATTTTCCTTAGCTAACTGGAGATTCGGCATCCTAACCTCTCTCAGTCAGTGCTGGAGAAGACACCTTCTTGTTCTTTCCCTGGTAATACGCTCCAGTCGATAGAAACAGGACGGGAATAGAGGGAAAATCAAGAGTTATTGGATGCTCATCAATTTCAGGAACCCTTCAAGGTCCCTTGCTCACAATCTCTGTAAAAGGCGACGGGGGTGGGGGGTGGGGAGAGGGGAGGCGTATTTCAGTCTTTGGAGGCAGATGGCTCAAAGGGCTCATGATAGAAGTTCGAACCCTTTCATGGCATGGTCCCTTGAACACAAAAAGGGCGATCCCTGAGCAACGAGGAAGGGGTATCCCACACGCACAGATCAGCTATACCCCCCAAAGCAAAACCAACAGATAAATAAGAGAGGCGATGATAGTAGTAGTAGCAATTATCAGTGGCAGCATCAGCAATGACTGCGCTCCAATGATGAATCCCGTATCTCCGCGCCAGGCACTTGCATCATCTCATTAAATCCTAACCTACTGAGGTTGTACCCCGCGAGGAAAGAGCAGGAAGCAAGGCTCAGGCTTCTCCGAGGGCTGCTGGAGTGCAAACCGCAGTCAGGCGGAACCACCCCTGGAACCTGGATTCCGGCCTGGGGCTTTCCGTGCCACCTTCCTTCCCAAGACAATCATCTCTAGCACAGATGACTCTGCCCAGCAAAGAATCGCAGTCTACCAGGCGCCGCAAGTGTCTTGGCGCTCCCTACTCTCCGCGGAACTTTCCTGTCGGCGGCGCTTGTTCCCGTCGGAGCACCAGCGCAAACGGGCCGGGAGGGGGACGCTTTCTGGCGCGGACCG